AGCTCTTAAGAAATGTAGCTTATTTTCCAACCTAGGTCATAAGCTATCTGTGTACAAAATTTCACGCAAATCAGTTCAGTCGTTTCCGCGTATTAATATAAATAAACTTTTTTAGCAGGTGGCAAGTTTTATTTTCCAATCTAGGTCATAAGCTATCCGTGTGCGAAATTTCATGCAAATCCGCTCAGCGGCTTCCGCATATTAATTTAATTAAACTTTTTAACAGGTGGCAACTCTTAAAAAAGTGGCATTTTTTTCCAATCTAGGTAATCAGCTATCTGCGTGCAAAATTTATGGAAATCAGTTTAGTCGTAATTTCATGCAAATCCGCTCAGCGGCTTCCGCATATTAATTTAATTAAACTTTTTTAGCAGGTGGCAGCTCTCAAAGAAGCAGCCTATTTTCCAATCTAGGTCAAAGCTATCTATGTGTCATATTTCATGCAAATCCGTTCAGCCGTTTCCGCGTATTAGTTTAATTAAACTTCTATACAAGATGGCAACTCTTAAGAAAAGTGGCCTATTTTCCAACCTATGTCATAAGCTACCCGTGTGCAAATTTTCATGAAAATTCCTCCAGCCGTTTCCGCTTATTAAATTAACTAAACTTTTTTGACAGGTTGCTATTCTTAAAAAAAAGTAGCCTGTTTTCTAGGTCATAAGCTATCTGCGTGCAAAATTCATGCAAATCAGTTCAGTCCTCTCCGCGTATTAATATAATTAAAATTTTTTAACAGGTGGCAACTCTTAAGAAAGTAACCTATTTTCCAATGTAGGCCATAAGCTATCTGCGTGCAAAATTTCACGCAAATCTGTTCATTCGCTTCCGCACATTAATTAAATTATACTTTTTAGCAGGTAGCGACTCTTAAGAATAGTAGGCTATTTTCCATCCTAGGTCATAAGTTATCTTTGTGCAAATTTTTATGCAAATCGGTTAATTAATTTCCGCATATTAATTAAATTTAACTTTGTAACAGGTGGCAACTCTTAAGAAACGTAGCCTATTTTCCATCCTAGGTCATAACTATCTGTGTGCAAATTTTCATGCAAATCCGTTCATGTGTGTCCGCATATTAATCAAATTTAACTTTGTAACAGGTGGAACCTCTTAAAAAAAGTAGCCTATTTTCCAATCTAGGTCATAAGCTATCTGCGTGCAAAATTCATGCAAATCAGTTCCGCGTATTAATATAATTAAACATTTTAGCAGGTGGAAAATCTTAAAGAAGTAGTTTAGTTTTCAATCTAGGCCATAAGCTATGGGTGTGCAAAATTTAATGCAAATCCGTTCAGTCATTTCCGCGTATTAATTTAATTAAACTTTTTTTACTGGTGGCAACTCGTAGGAAAAGTAGCCTATTTTCCAACCTAGGTCATAAGCTATCCGTGTACAAATTTTCATGCAAATCTATTCAGTCGCACATTGAATCGCCTAGTACAATCTAGGTGGACAAAAGTAAATTAACTCTTTCCGGTCAAATGTGTCCCTGAATATAAAAATGTTTCCTCTTAATTACAAGGTTCATAGAGCCTCATAATACCCTAAGTAAAAAAATATTCAAAAGTTGTTTTGGGTAGTTATTAGGGCTACCTTAAATTTGTGCAATATATTCTATAAAAGTCCGCAAAGTAGTAAAAGCAATCAAGGAGACTCAATAAATATTTCACTAAGTTTGACGGAATAAAACTTTTATTTCATTGAAAATTAACTTATGTATGTACAAAATAATTGATTTTACTGCAAATATGTTGGAATGAATATTTTATATATTTGTAAGTATCTTTAGTTAAGATTTGTATTAAAAAATTAAAATTTTCTCCATGAGAAGAGAATTATATTAAGAAATTTTGAAACATTTCAGATACAATTACAATATAAAATATAAATGACCCATTTTAATAAACCTTCCCAGTTCAGTAGATCAAGAAATCAAAAACCTACCCTTTACTGCAACAACAGCGCACAAGTTCTTCAAAAACCGCGGCAAAAACCACCTGTTGCCTGTTCAACAGCAACCTTTGCGGACGTTTTTACAGTATATTATACAAGACGCAACCATTCAGTGTAATTGTACAATATATTGTACATTTTTTTTACCAGTCGGGAAAGATATTTTAAATCATAATAGTTTAATTTTAGCATTTTTATATGATGAAATGCTTTTTATTTATTTATTTATTTAATTCTTACAGCTTAATTAAGCCTAGCTTAAACTTATATGCATATACATATTTATGTATATTTAGGATCTATAATTTAAAGCCTAGACAAAGTATAAAGTATAGGCCATTTATATGGACACCAACTGCAATGAAAAACAATGAGGCATTCTTCCAAAACAAATCATTACAATGATTGCACTATTTGGCTGCGGTTGAGCCACCGCGTATGCATGCAAAGTGCGAAACAAGCATCTAATAGCGATTCACAGATTTGATCTAGTGATGCGTTTTGTGATGAGCCTCGGCTGCTTTTCGGATGCGTGCGGAAGGGTATATGTTGGCGTAATGCAACAGTATACTTGGTGCGTATGCATTGCGATTGCAAGTCTGGAAGATTGCCCATGCATTACTAAATAGGAAGGATCCTACAATAATTACAATTTTTGTTTAAATTCATTCATATTGCTTGATTTAACATCATTTGGTAATTCATTAGAGCATCTCAATCCTTTATAATACAAGTTACATTTATCTGCTTCCGTTTTATAAGCAGGTAGATTGAAATCATTTTTATTTCGAGTATTTTTGGAGTGTACATTATTGACATACTTTATGTTGCTTTTTAAGTAATCAGGCAAGTTGCCATCTACAATCTTCCTAATAAATTTCATTGTGTAGTAAAAAAGTTGTTGTTTAGCACTCAGCCAGTTTAATTCCGCCAACATGTTTCTGATAGGTGTGTCATAACGTTTTTTTAGGATGAATCGCGTGGCTCTGTTCTGTTGCTTTTGCAATTTATAAATATGACTATCATTATGAAATAATAGTTGGACAATAAATAAAATGAGGTTCGATTATAGATCTATATACCATCGTCCTATACCTTCTACTCAAGTATCTGCAGGTTCTCTGCGTAAAGTATAATTTGTTTGCGATCTTGCCTACAGTATAATCAATGTGTTCGTTAAAGACTAGTTTATCATCAGTCTTTATTCCTAGGTATTTGAATGTATTAACTTTTTCCAGTGCTTCGTTGTTTATATTTAGAGTAAGCAACTTACTGTTCTCAAAATTTCGCCTTGATATAACCATAAACTTAGTTTTATTGACATTCAATTTAAGTCGGTTCAAACATAACCAATCGTATACTTTATTTAAGGCATCTTGCAATTTAGAGGCTATTTCAGCTATATTTTCTCCACTTAGCATAAGCAACGGATCCTCAGCAAATAACTTAATATCGCAATACTTTATGCAATTAATAATGTCATTAATATATATATTGAACAAAATTGGAGCTAGCACAGATCCTTGAGGCAGTCCGACAGATACACTTCTTTTATCGGATATTGATGATCCAATCGCAGTTCTTTGATATCGATTCGTAATGAAGTTTTCAAACCACTTTAGTTCGATACCATTTACGCCTATATT